AATCTGCAAGAAACATCTATCTGACTTTTCTTGGCCGAATCATCTAAATTTGAGTTTGAATTAAGTTCGGAGGAATCAAATAGTTGTATAGTTATAACGCACTTAGTTAATAGAAATATTAGTACTTGTAGGAAGACATAACCCTATTACATTAACATGATACATATTTCAACATAATCCCCTTCCACATTGGTACACATTTGTCAATGATGTTGAGAGGAGGGGGGATTTTGTTCCAGTTCCGTAGAAGTCCTTCTCTCGGCTGTCAAAAAGTTCTTAACAGCTGCTATGGCGTCATCGTTCGAGTCGAGATGGGTTCCGGCTGGAGCTTTCATCACGTGTGGGAACAAATAGAAGTCCTACTGAGAAAAGAGGGGTGCTTAAGGAGTTCAAAGCCACAGTCGTTGATTTTAGCTGATATGTTCACTGGCGCATTGGCCTGATGACAGACAACACCTTTTCTCCGCTTCTCACGTCTCTTCGTCTAATTTCACATCTTAATGTCCTCAAACACACAGTACAGTAATCTTCGTTTATTGTCTTGCGTTTAGGAATATAGTTCAGAATGACACCCTCGCCGTATCAGAAGACGGAGGCCATAACCTTTCCAGCTAATGAGACAGTATTTGTCTTGTGACGGTGATGTCAAATGCAAAGGATGAAAGTGATACTAGGTTTTTATCCATAATCAGAAATCGTTGCAAGAACCTTTCTTTGGGGTTCAATCAGAGCTAGACTTTTACGTGACACGTTTGGTGCGTGTGTGATAAGGTGTCGGAGGCTTTGGAATTCAAAGAGCTGATACTTTGGTCATTGCTACAGTTTATGAGATATGGAATATATTCTCTCTTGAGATTCAGTCATTCGTGGATTCTCTTGGTCAATTCTGGTGTTGCTGATGTGACAGGCTTTCTAGGTCAGGGGGCCGTCTTCAAGGCTCTCCCTGCCATTCTTATTCCCTGCTGTCCATCTCTCTACCAAGCCATAGGAAAGGACATTCTTCCCCCTTCCCCTTCAAGGGTTTTTGGTGTGATGCCGTGTTTCTGCAAGAACATGGCCACTGCACGTTCCTTAAGTTTGTCCATTTTCCGAAGGTCATAGACCCATGCCTATTTTCTGACTTATCGTAGCGAAACAATTTTCTCAAATGACTTAAGCTTTTATCCATATACTTCTACGACATCATGTACTTTTTACAACAAAAGATTTCATTTTTACTCAATTACTTCCGTGTGAGGCTCAGAACATAACAGTAAACCCTCGCATATATGAATACTCCCGTAGTTTAACGAATTACATTTGTATCACATCCGCCTTTTTTGTACCCCAACAGCATCAGTTCAATTTATCACACAATAGAGTCTAGGCAGACTCAAAGTCTTACTGTTTCAATCCCCTCTAAATATTACTGCACTAAATTAGCAATCTATCCGTCTTGCGATCAACTACAACGTCTACTGATTCAACAAATGGGATTACGGAGAAGAATTGTTCCCACTGACCTCAAGGAGGGGCCACGGTGGGCATGTGATGGTCATCGTGGCTGTTCAACGTGGATAGAAAGTGATAAGCACGGATGGCAAATATCACTTGTGACATGAATTTCCTTACAATTTCCTTTCTAAATTTCCTTACACTATTTATTGCTGGTTTGCAAACCATTATAACACGCTGAAATATTAGGTGTCCATAATATAGCTTCTTTCCCAGAACCCAATGTCACCGATTACTGCACAGATTGCCAAACACACTATTGCTCCAATTCTATCAGTATCTAAATACATCTGTGCGCTGGGAAAATCTTCCCTTTCGAAAGAAATGTACTTTAATGGAGTGGGTGAAACGCTGTGGATAGTTTCTCATTTCGGTATGACCGAAATGTGACAACGGCAGGGGCTCTTGTAAATGGTACGGCAGTTGTTATCCTGTAGATTACAAAATTATCAAACTTGATGCAGCTAGAAATGCAGGACGATATTTTTATTTTCCTTTAAATGATCCTCCACATATTCTTTATGAATAGTTTTTCATTTACTCATGACCGATATATGACAACTACATTGAAAATACGTTTTTTATCATGTATAATGCGTCGTTTCCAGACCTCCTCCCAGACTAAATATTGCCGTCAGCGCAGGTTTCCTTACTTGGGCTATTTCGTCGGCTCTGGAATCGCCATCGTTGCATATGTCGTGATCTGACCCTCCGTGTCTGGAGTTGTTGAGGCCCAGGGGAAGTGATCTCATTTCATACACACTGTCAGCACATACATCCACTTACCATCACAGAAATGTATTTATTACAAGTAAGCTCTAGGTTTGCATTTTTTTTTAGGCAGAATTACCTTCGAAAATGCATTTGTTATGTGTCTGACTCGCATTTATCTGGACCAAAAACACATTATTTGTGAGAACATCCAGCATGCATGATACTGCAACTACATCCTTCCCCTCGAACGCTTCTTTAAACAGTTTTTTTATGTGTCACGTCTTGGCAGTTTCCTGATTAACATCCGGGTACCGACGGTTAAGGTGTCTTATCTCATGTAAGCATTAGAGATGTTGGTTACATGGAAACAATACATATTTTAGTTTACTAATTACAGGTATATAATGATAAAACATAACGTCAAATATTATCTTCTTTTAAATAATAAGCATATGCTTGTTAAAGGACACAGAACAGAACATAATAAGTATTCTTCAGTTGTTCAGAAACCCTTCGGCTGTACAAGTTATCGAAACATGTCCGTGTAGTCTAGACTGGAACCCTTTCAGTATGATATACAGTAAACCCTTCGGTTGTTTGATTTCTTTTGTATGATTTAAAGAAACCGTTCTGTTGTTTAATTTACAAAACAAGCTACAGAAACTAATCCACTGCATCATTATCAGAAACATGTTACAGAAACCCTTCGGTTGTTAAATTCACAGCAACATATTTCAGGAATCCTTCCGTGGGTTCATTGATAGAAACATGTTACAGAAACGTTTAAGTTGTATGATTTACAGAAACATGTATACAGAAACGTTTATTATGTTGTATGATTTACAGAAACATGTATACAGAAACGTTTAATATGTTGTATGATTTACAGAAACGTGTTTCAGAAACGTTTATGTTGTATGATTTACAGAAACATGTATACAGAAACGTATAATATGTTGTATGATTTACAGGAACGTGTTTCAGAAACGTTTATGTTGTATGATTTACAGAAACATGTCTACAGAAACGTATAATATGTTGTATGATTTACAGAAACATGTTACAGAAACGTTTATGTTGTATGATTTACAGGAACATGTATACAGAAACGTATAATATGTTGTATGATTTACAGGAACGTGTTTCAGAAACGTTTATGTTGTATGATTTACAGAAACATGTATACAGAGACGTATAATATGTTGTATGATTTACAGAAACATGTATACAGAAACGTTTATTATGTTGTATGATTTACAGAAACATGTATACAGAAACGTATAATATGTTGTATGATTTACAGAAACATGTTACATAAACGTTTATTATGTTGTATGATTTACAGAAACATGTATACAGAAACGTATGATATGTTGTATGATTAACAGAAACATGTATACAGAAACGTTTATTATGTTGTATGATTTACAGAAACATGTATACAGAAACGTATAATATGTTGTATGATTTACAGGAACGTGTTTCAGAAACGTTTATGTTGTATGATTTACAGAAACATGTCTACAGAAACGTATAATATGTTGTATGATTTACAGAAACGTGTTTCAGAAACGTTTATGTTGTATGATTTACAGAAACATGTATACAGAAACGTATAATATGTTGTATGATTTACAGAAACGTGTGACAGAAACGTTTATGTTGTTTGATTTACAGAAACATGTTACAGAAACGTTTAATAGGTTGTATGATTTACAGAAACATGTATACAGAAACGTTTAATATGTTGTATGATTTACAGAAACGTGTTTCAGAAACGTTTATGTTGTATGATTTACAGAAACATGTATACAGAAACGTTTAATATGTTGTATGATTTACAGAAACGTGTGACAGAAACGTTTATGTTGTATGATTTACAGAAACATGTATACAGAAACGTATAATATGTTGTATGATTTACAGAAACGTGTTTCAGAAACGTTTATGTTGTATGATTTACAGAAACGTGTGACAGAAACGTTTATGTTGTTTGATTTACAGAAACATATTACAGAAACGTTTAATATGTTGTATGATTTACAGAAACATGTATACAGAAACGTTTCATATGTTGTATGATTTACAGAAACGTGTGACAGAAACGTTTGTGTTGTATGATTTACAGAAACATGTTTACAGAAACGTTTATGTTGTATGATTTACAGAAACATGTTACAGAAACATGTATACAGAAACGTTTAAGATGTTGTATGATTTACAGAAACGTCTCACAGAAAGGTTTAATATGTTGTTTGATTTACAGAAACGTCTTACAGAAAGGTTTAATATGTTGTATGATTTACAGAAACATGTATACAGAAACATTTTATATGTTGTATGATTTACAGAAACGTGTTACAGAAACTCTTCGGGCGTCCTGAATGACTGGTGCCGACGTTTCGCGAATTTGATAGTGATTAACAAACACATGTCTATGTATAATCGGAATCGTATTATGGAATCTGTTTTAGCAGCTATTTTACACTTAACAAGAAACCTTTGAAACAACCTTTGTTAATATACACCCTGTAACGCAGATCAGACCCGTTGTATCAAACTGTATTCTATAAAGAAATATAGATGACATAAACGATCGGAGTATTCTTATTTCATTCCGAAATATAAACATGTTACATGTAATCAGAAAATGCAACACATTACTCACTGGTTGGCATATGTAAACAATTCCTTTTTCTTTCAAAATATCGTTGTTAAAGATAAAATAAATAAAATCTTTCTAAGGATTTTCGGACAGCCTTAACAAAGCGGAAGCAGTACTTCAAACCTACCTGATAAAGCCACCGTTGTAAGATTTACGTCTGATAAGAACGTGTCAGGCGGAATTCCGGCGTCAAATGGAATTCGGACGAAGCTGGGGAATTTGTGACATAAACCCACAGTAATTGGTTACTATGGAGACGAATAGCTGTCACCAGAACGTGGGATCCATGGCATTTTCATTACAGATGTGTTAAGATGTACTCGCCGGGAGAATTCGACGGGCTCTCTGTCGCAGAGAATGCCAATGTGCTCAGGAAGTGGGCACTGGCGATGAAGCTCATATAAGCTCAAAGGAGAGCACCTTCGCTTATATGGAGACAGACGACCACGTGACCTTTCTACCAACTTGAAGTGCCATGAAAACATGAAGGACATATGATGCTGTTGCAGTAGTGACACCGCTTGACAAGGCTGCTTTCTCGAGGACTCATTCAGGCGTATAAAAAGAGTATCCATTACAGATTTCCTTTCAGATTATCAGAATGTTTTGACGGCTTGGCATTAAAAGGATCTTTTTACATCTGTTGAAAGTAAATAGCTTGGTATTAATTTCTCGAGCAGTGTTCAGTATCCTCATTTATCGGCATCAGGAATCGATATCTACAACACTTGTTGGGTCGGATAACACGGATAACACAGACTTTACACTCAGATTGCTTGCAGTTAAGTATGTGTTTTCATTATTACGTTTTCTATTTTTCATTTGCTTCACGAAACTTAGGTTATCTAAAAATTATACAATACTTAATCATCCACATATTATAGACGTATCTTGTTTTAATATGATTGTAGTTATCTCTTCTAAAAGGTAATTGTAATACATAAAACAATCCGCGAAATATTATACATTATGATGATCCTCTAGATAATTGGAAATGAGTAAGGCTTTCAGAAAAATGTCAACGGTTTTCCGGTCAGTATCTTGTTGTTTTTTCAAATACTATTGTTAAAATATCAGTTTTTTATTTAGATTTATGTGGTTCTTAAACAGCTGAACCACAACAGATATTCCTTCTTACCAATGTACTACATCAGCATGCGTGTTCACAGCAAAAATCAATTTGTACTCACTTGTCATGTTCGATGTATGCCCTAAACTGAAACTAATTCATATACATTATGTTTGCAAACACGCTTCTGGTTTGGTCACAACGGCATTGCTACGTACACATTTGCCATATTTTCTGGTGCTTTCACATCAAAATAAATATACGTTTTGCTTTGAGACTTGATGTCATGGTCACATAGCACACATCCGATATGTATAAATATATTTACGTAATGAGGTTCAGCTCATTGTCTGTCTACGACACATACTCACACTGATGATACCAGGTGTTCGAGAAAAGTTGAACGTTTCCTGCCCCATCAGAGACAGTCGTCACACATACATGCAAAGGCAGGTCAATTATTCCCCTGAACAAAGTTCTACCAATTGCAATCTGTACGTAATACATCTGTATGACTGAGATGTTTAAGTGTATAAATTAGAAATCGTTGTGTTGTCATTATGAATAATAAAATAGATGCATCGCAATAAATGTGATAATGATGCAATAATGGATATTTCTTTGCTCGTATCTTGTACAAATTGACGACAAAATCAAATCTCAATCTCTATGAATAACTATCAAACAGTGATTATACTCAGGTGTTAGTCAATTGCAAAAGGTTAGCGTATGCTGCCTATCGCTGCCAAACACACAAACACATGCAAAGGCAAGTCAATTGTTCATCGATAAAAACACGGGAACATAAAGGTTACTGGTCAAATTAGGGAATTGCATCGCACATCAGTTTTGTCACTGATGCGTCACATTTGGATATGTCCTCCACGCGTCTACCATAAAAGGTTTTCAAAGCTTTGCTTATGCCGTGAATGTTGTACCCCTATGTAAAACATAAAAACGTTATACAGCCGAATGTCTTGTACTTGTGCATGCTTCACGTAAATGTAGACGTATGAGGATGTTATAATTATTTAAAAGGCACACGTTTGAGCTAACAAGAACATGCTTCTTCATTGCAGTTACTATGTTGTGTACCGAGTAACACGCTATTCAATTATATTAAGCATTCACAATAGAACTGCTATGAAAAGAATAAAAGCGTGAATATTGTCTCGTCTAATTATGTTAATACCATCTCAGCCGTACGCCAAATATCAAAACACCATCCATCAAGAGACTCGACTATAGAATTAAATTATAAATATTGCAGTCGTTTCCTACATCATGTTCTGTGTCAATGAATGGGTTGCCATCCCGATAGACACTATATTATAATTGTCCAAGAAGCACTTCGCATGATCGATAGGGGAGTGTTGGGAAGTATTGTCCTTGGAACCACCACTGCAGAACAGCTATGGTGACTTGATCAGAAACGATTCTTGGAGGGCGGAGGTTAAACTTCGGGGACAGGTAACGTCCACAAAGGCATCATTCAGTGCTGGTGTTAGTTGCACGGAAATACTTTTCACAGACGTACGGCTTTCTGTTTGTCCAATGCTTAAACCGTCCGATAGCCTTACTGCCATATTGAAATGATAAGGGTAGATTAATCTCGTATCCGCTTGTATTTTGTTCAATATGCATGTTTATGATATAGCATTGGTCAATGTCGTCATTTCCTTCTACATATAGCTATATGTACGTAAATGTTGAATGTTGGGGATCTTGGTTCTGAACCTGCTTATGTTGAAACCGAAATATATGATTTGATGCCCCAGTGGTAGAATGCTCTCTAAGATTTCACAGAGCGTCACTCATTAGTGAAATGAATGACGCCTGACCAAATTCCCTATTTTGACTTGAACCAAAATTTATGTTCCCGTATTTTTACAGGTGAACAATTGACTTGTCTTTGCAAGTGTGTCTTTCGAGTGCCACCGGTGGGGCACCATACGCTCACCTTTTGGCGAACACCTGGTATAATCACTATTTGATAGTGATTCATAAATCAACACATGCTCATGATATAGTTGTAATCGTAAAATCGATTCTGCTTTTTGCAGAGATTTCTTATGAATGATTATGATTTTTTTCCTTTTTATAAACGTCTTTTTAAACTTTTCTCGTATGCGAAACCTCATAAGATCTAACCCCATTAATCAGCAACCCCGGCCTTCCGGGTTTTCTGGATGGTTTAATCGCGATTTACCTCCACCCTGAAGGAAACTAACGGTAATCCTGATTTTACCGTACACCGTCGTTGTTTATACTGTCAAGACTATCAGTATAAACTTACTTAACAAACTCTATTGTTCTACCAACTGGTACGCCTGACTGCACTCCTAGTTGTAACACTAGGTGATTGCGAAACGAGAAGACCCAGTCTGGACTCTTGATTCGTAAATCCGGAACTTTATCTGGACGATATTCTTGGATTGGTACATTCCGAATTAACGAGGATTCAATGTATGTGTTTGTATCATGATACATGAATGTTGTGTGTTGTTTGACACAACATTCGTGAATATTTAACAGTAGTAAAATCATTACAAAACCTTAATGAACGAAGTTTTCAAAAACGTTTTGTCTCGAATCACTTAAAAATGATTGTCCTCCCAATCAAGTAATACCTTTCGAGCACGAAGGTCAAGGTCACGGTATAGTAATGGTCGGTAAAGGAACGAATTCTTTCTCTACCTCTACCTCTACGTCTCTCAATTCCAATAGTGTCTATCATAAATAAACAAGAAACGCTTTGTACATCCATAAACGTCCATCATTTGCAGAAATAACAGACAAAGTGCGTCCATGTCACCACACTAAGTACACCGATGCATTACAATCCTTGTGACCATGTACAATACTATGAGGCCCAATAACAGTGGACCTCGGGGACCGCGTTTGATGGCTACTTATTGAAAATATGTCACGCATTCCGTGTGATGTCCTCAGATACCACTCCGATCTGTGAATCCTCATCTGTCATATAACGAGAGTGTCCTTGTGCGTATTTTATCGGTACGACAGAACCCTTTGATTATGGCTTATCTTTCTGTTAACCGTGTTGTTGATAAAATGTTACCCTTTCAGGAACACTTGGTGTCATGACTGACTTTCAGTGATCCATTGAAATGGCATCTGTTACGTCAGATAATTGAGACTGATTAGTCTCTGACGTTGACGTTCTATTTGTAATTAGCTTACGGCATGGATGCATCTTGCCATATCGACTTTTGTGTTGAAAACCGAACTGTTTGGAAATTCATTTATTTCATGTACGTACAGAACAATTAATCAAACGTTGAAATTATCACGTATGCCCAATAAAGTCAGCGCAGGAGTGATACGCGAAGAAAACATAGCTCCTGCAGCGTGCGCTTGGTGATATATGTGGGTTTGTAATACATTAACGCAATAGAAAAGATATCTTTTGAAGGAACAGCACCCATTCATTTTAGTGATCATTCATCAGAAAAGATTTGATGCAAGAACATTGCGGAATCCTCCATCCTAAGGAAGCAGTAAATACGCCAAAGAGTGGTCATCAAAATCAAGCAGTCTATACCAATACTTCGTATTCTACAATGAATTCTGAAAAAATAGTGGATTGTGACTGGTATATTAGAGGTTTCAATTCACAATAACAAGCACTCATTGAATGATTAAAACAACTGATTGGACGGAAGCGAATAATATGTATATGTTAGTACACATTTCTCAGTCATTGTCAGTAGGCATTTTAAAGTAATGGTATGTACAATCGTAGGTTACAAAATGCAGTTGAGGTTTCTACAGTATTCATTTTTTGGCAATGCGATTTGGGATGCATATGTTGGTGGAATTTGATCAATTTTTTCAAAAGCTATTACCGGTGTTTTCTTAATTCAGTTCGACTACACACTCAAAACACCAGCTCACTCCACACTGAATGGCTTCGCGAACAGAAAGGAATTCGCGTTTAATTTTGACATGCATTTTGACAGTATGTTAAAATCAAACATTAGGCTTTTGAACGTCGACACGGATAGTCAGGTGTTGAAAGCGTTGTATAGAGATGCGTCGGATCAAGACAGCTGAACTTGGGGTTTAATCGTAACTCTCAGAGATAACGAGGAAATATACATGATAAATTCTAACGAAGGAAATCACACAACTCCGGATTCAGCTGAAGTTCGCGTTTTTGAAACCCTTGCTTTGTGGAGAAGGGGATAGATGAGCGGTAGCTCATGATAATGTCACGATAAATGACAAGGAAGAGAATTTATGTATGTCAACGTCTTTATTATGAGGGACACAACGTTTCGGAGTATATACTTACTCCTTCATCAGATGAATGAGTGCTATGAGGCAGAGAGCACAAATGTGATAAGATAACAAAGGAAACTTAACAATGGAAGCCAGCATATAATTGGCACTGACAGGTG